TCTCGATTCCATTTCGATTTATCGTGCAGCCCTAATTCGAATGCAACATTTTTGGAAAATGCCCATCCCTAGTTGGATGCAGGGTTGCCAAGTCTGTGTTTTTTTTTCCATAGAATTGGGCTACTGTTGCCATGGGTTGATTTACCCCCGTGGGTAAAAGGTTTGAAATATTGCATAAATTACCTTTGACTGAAATGCTTGTAACATTGGAACATTTTGCATTCTACCCATGATAAACTGTGGTGTTAAAGGCGTAGTTCACCCAAGAATGAAAATTCTGTCATTAATTACACACCCTCACGTCGTTCCAAACCTGTAAGACCTTCGTTCATCTTCAGAACACAAATTAAGATATTTTTGATGAACTCCGAGAGCTTTCTGATCCTGCATAGACAGCAAGGGTCCTACCACGTTCAAGACCCAGAAAGGTAGTAAGGACATCGTTAAAATAGTCCATGTGACACAAAGCAGCGAGAATACTTTTTGTGTGCAAAGAGTACCCCAGAACATAATCAGCGTAATCAGCGTTGTTTACGTTCAGCATGCACGCGGAAGACGGTAACTCGGGGAGAAGAATTGTTGAATGAATTATTATTATTATTGTTTTCTTTGCGCACAAAAAGTATTCTCGCTGCTTCGTAAAATTAAGGTTGAACCGCTGATGTCACATGGACTATTTTAATGATGTCCTTGATACGTTTCTGTGCGTTGATCGTGTTAGGATCCTTGCTGTCTACGGAGATCAGAGAGCTCATCAAAAATATCTTAATTTGTGTTCCGAAGATGAACGAAGGTCTTACGGGTTTGGAACGACGTCAGGGTGTGTAATTAATGACAGAATTTTCATTTCCGGGTGAACTAACCCTTTAACTCTAGTGTGATCTCTGTGTGTCTCCCTCTAGTGGTGAGTCGGGTGCTGGAGGTGACCGACCTCCCCGAGGGCATTTCCCGTCCAGAGGCCGAGAAGCTCTTCAACCAGCTCTCGCTCTGCGGCGCCAAGATCCAGTGGCTGAAGGACCCTCAGTGTCCCCGGGGCCACGGCGGCGGACGGGGAGACGCCAGGGACCCCGCTAACCTCTACACCGTGGTGGCTGTGTTCCCCAACACAATGGCGGCCCAGAGCGCCTCCTTCAAACTCAACAACAGCGGCGGGAGTTTGTTCAAACTGCGCGCCACCAAAAAGAACTATGACTTGCGCGTGCTGGAGCGAGCGAGCTCGCAGTGAGTCGGGAGAGAGAGAGAGGAAGTCGAAGATGTCAAAGGGAAGAGATCATCCTGGTGTTCCTTAGGGATCTTTTTTATTGTTTTGTATCATTAACCGAAGAGCACATATGACACAGAAGCGTGTTGCGTTGTGTGTATCGTATGACGCACACACACACACACACAGACACACTCATAAACACAAGCGGACATCTTAAAGGGACAGTTCAGATGAAAATGAAATGATTTACTCACTTTCATGGCGTTCCAAACCTGTATGAATTATTTTCTTCTGTGGAACATGCGAGTAGATATTTTTGAAGAACGTTGATAACACATTTTCAGTTCCTGTTGACTTTATGAAAATACCGTGGAAGTCAATGCGTACCAAAACTTTTAATTCCCAGCTGTTTTATGCTTTTTGCGTGTGTGTTCTGCCAAAAAGAAGGAATTCATACATGTGTGGAACGACATGAAGGTAAGTGAATAATGGCACAATTTTCGTTTTTGGGAAACTTTCCCAAAATTTAAATTCTGTCATCATTTACTCATCTTCATGTCTTTCCAAATCTGTTTGACTTACTTTCTTCTGTGGAACATGCAAGCAGATATTTTGAAGAACGTTGGTAACCAAGTATTTTCAGTTCCTATTGACTTCATGAAATTTGACTATGGAGGTCAGTTGGTACCAAAACGTTTTAATGGCCAACGTTTTATTTCCAGCTGTTTTATGCTTTTATTTTGTGTGTGTTCTGCAGAAAAAAGAAATTCAATACAGGTGTGGAATGACATGAAGGTAAGTGAATAATGACACCTTTTTCATTTTTGGGCAAACTGACTCTTTGAAGGGATAGTTTGCCCCAAAAATAAAATTCTGCCATCATTTACTCTCATTCATGTCATTCCAAACTTGTATGACTTCATTTCTCCTCTGAAACATAAAAGAAGATATTTTGAAGAACGTTGGGAATCAAACAGTCTTGGTTCCCATTGACTTCCATTCTATGGAAATACAATGGAAGTCAATGGGAACCGGGAATGCTTGTTTGCCAGCATTTTTTATATCCTGCTTTTGCGACAGAAAGAAATGTTTACAGGTGTGGAACGACATGAAGGTGAGTAAATGATGACAGATTTTTAATTTTTAGGCAAGCTAAAGGGATAGTTTACCCCAAAATTAAAGTTCTGTCATCATTTACTCACATTCAAGTCGTTCCGATCCAGTAAGACATTTTTATTCTGTGGAATATAGAAGATACCTTGAAGAATGTTGGGAATCAAACCAGTTCCCATTGACTTGCATTACAATATATGGAAATACAATGAAAGTCAATGGGGACCAAAAATGTTTGCCAGCGTTTTTCACATCATGCTGCTTTTGAAGAAAGAAATGCGTACATGTATGTAATGACATAAATGATTACATCATTTTTTGGGTGAACTATCGCTTTAAAAGGAGAGTCTTGTCTTCATTTATTCACCTTCGTGTCGTTCCAAACCTGTTTGACGTGGTGCGCAAACTGAGAGTTTACTCTAGAAAATATATCAAGCACTGAATTATATTACAAAAAGATCCATATGAGCAAAAGTTGGTGATGTTTGACATCATATAGTCGATATGACTCTCATAAAGCCTCATATGACTTCAGAAGACTTGAGAAGAATATAAACTCAGCTCATTTTATGGTACTTTGTTCTCATTTGTGGAGCTCGACAGCTTTATGTGGGCAAATAAAGCTCAGATGTTCTTCCAAAACGGAAGAAACGAAGTCAAGCAGGTTTGGTGTGGCAACGCTGAAAGAATGGCTCGTTTAATCTGAACTGTGTCTATAACGCGCCGTCGAAGCCTCGTCTCTCCACGCGCTCATCCGTCTTCGTCTGTCTCTCTTCCTCTGGCTCTCTCTCTCTCACGTTGTTCACTTTGGATTTCTTCCTCTTTCACTTTCTAGCGTTTCTTGCTGTCTGTTTTGCCTTAACGCTGTTGTGAACTTCTGTATGCGCTGTTTATTTTCTCTCTCTCTCTCTCTCTCTCAGATGAATCTTCTTTTCTCGGTTCAGTATATTTATATAAGTGATGTAAGGATTATAAGAAATCATCTATATATTCCGTGATTCTTTTCCCGTGGATAAGTTGAAGCTCCTTTGCTCCTCCTCTTCTCGTTGTGTTTGCGTTTTTCCGTGGACAGCTCTGCAGAAAGTATCCGAGGTATTTAAAAGTGCACAATGATTGCGAATGTCTACTGTAAATTCCATTTAATCTGTTATTTTTTGTTTGTTTTTAAAAATATAAAAGATAACTCAAAAACTGCTGCAGCGTTTGGGTTTGTGAGTTTGCGTCAGGTCTGTGTGAATGTCAGCGTGTTCGTCGCATCAGAAATCTTATTCATGTCTCTCATTTATATAACGGACATATGTGACCCTGGAGCACAAAACCAGTCATAAGGGTACATTTTTGAAATTGAGATGTATGCATCATCTGAAAGCTGAATAAATAAGCTTCCATTGATGTATGGTTTGTTAGGATAGGACAATATTTGGCCGAGATACAACTATTTGAAAATCTGGAATCTTGAGGGTGCAAAAAAAATCAAAATATTGAGAAAATCATCTTTAAAGTTGTTCAAATTAAGTTCTTAGCAATGCATATTACTAATCAAAAATTAAGTTTTGATATATTTACAGTAGGAGATTTACAAAATATCTTCATGGAACATGATCTTTACTTAATATCCTAATGATTTTTGGCATAAAAGAAAAATGGATAATTTTGACCCATACAATGTATTGTTGGCTATTGCTACAAATATACCCCAGCGACTTGAGCCTGCTTTTGTGCTCCAGAGTCACATATGATTCTATTTGATCCTAAATTACATGGATTTCTTACTGTGTCAAAAGTGAGGAAAAACTGAATTTATAAAGTTAAAAACTGGCGTGAAAATGTTCTTGTGTTTTAAAATATTCCAACATTGTTTATCAAAATGTAAAGAGAAATAGTAACATTTTTCAATAGGGTCTATATTTAACGCATTAACTAACAATGTGCAGTACATTTGTTGCAGTATTTATTCATGTTTGGTAACGTTATAATACAGTAGTTCATTGTTAATGTTATGTTTATGTTTTATGCATCTTTTGATTTTAATAATACATGTGTTGAAATTAATATTAACTAAGGTTAAATTCTTTATAAATATTTGTCATTGTTAGTTCATATCTTATGTGTCCTTAAAGTGTAACCAGATGTATAACATTTCAGAAATTATTGTAAATTCACATTTAGGATGCACATCTTTATAAATGAGGCCCTGATCTAACTTTTGAACATTTCTTTCCAAATGATGTCATTCTACTAATTTACTACTAATTTAATATTGGTTACATACTATACTATTATATTACATACTATACTTCACGTATTTGTCAAACTCATAATTACAGGTTAGAAGCTGGATTTTCGGGACTTCTGCTGCTTGTGTCATCATTTATCAACCATAAAAATGACAGCTCTTTTAATCATTAATGCTAAACTTGTATCAGCCTCTGCACATATTATTGTTATTGTTAAATATTTATGGAGGGCATGTATACAGTAGAGGTGAGTTAATGTAGTGATGACGTTCTGCTGTCATTAAGTTGCACATGCAGGTTGCAACATTGAGTGTTGCTATAGAAACTGGTCTGTTTCTGAGGAATGTAACAGTTTTAGTAATTCCATTATGACGTAAATGAGATCTATATTGAGACGGCAGGTGATCACAGCCGTGCTCCAATTCAGACTGACAGCACTGAATTGGAGCAATATACAAACTGTTCAATATACAAGAAGTTCATATCGAGTAAGGTTAGGTACAGTACGTGTCTCACTGAACGCCCACAGAAAGAG